TCTTGCCAGGCTTGCGCCAGCGATGCAGCACTGGCTGCGTGTTGACCTGCGCCGCCCTGCTTCCTTTCGCAGCGGTGCATGCCTTAGGTCAGACTGTTGGCGGCGCAGTGTATTGCTCGCGATGAGCAAGTGCCTGACTTTTACGGCGACTGCTTCTGCGGCGTAACCGTTGGCTGTTTGGTGACCTGAAGCATGATTGGTCGCCTTGTCTGACGATCCGATCGTCCCCAACAATTGCACTGAGGTCCCGGGTCAGACCGTGACCGCAGGACCCGAATCCTGACGTCACCATATCCCTCCTCACCCATGGCTCTCTGTGCTCCGTTCCACAGATTACAGTGCCTCCGTCTGGCCTGGGTACGGACGCCTTCACGGAGGACTGCTTGCTGCGCCACGCCCAGTTCGTGGTGGACCAGGTGCAGAGCTTCGACCTGGCTGGCGGTGTCGAGGAGGCGCAGCTGCTCACCACCGCCTGTGTACGCGCCCTCATCCGGCTGGCCGGCGTCACGCTCGGAAAACGGTACGTGATGGCCGTGGTGGCGTCACAAACGGTGTTCCACTAGATCCTGCCGAAAAACGACACTCAAACGCTGCACATGGTTATTAGTGGGGGGGGGGGGGGGACCGTGGTGGTAGGCATACGCACCATATATGTACATAGGCATCACGAAGTGAGATGATTGGCTCTAATGAGCAACGGCTACAACTGGGTCACTCCAGTGTTCACGGCGGTACAGCGGTTCATTACTGTGACTGTCATGAACTTGGCATGGCACCGTGAATGATGTAGACTGGTGAACCAATCGTTGAGTTGATGTGACGAGTGGGGTTAGGTGCTGTGTGGTTTGAATGGGTTTCAAACTGAAGCTGCTGTTTAAAATGGCTACGTCATGCTTGTCCACTGGGCTGAAGGGTTCCCAAATGCAACGGGGCTCCATTTACAATTGCAGCCGAGCGATCCGTAAAGTGACGCGAGTGAAAAAGGTAGCGGCCGCGCCTCTCACCAAAGCCACGACGACGCCACTGGTCTCTGAACTGTTTGAGAACTTCTTCAAGGGACAGATCCAATCGACGATAAGGCAAGTGGATGGCCCTGGGTTGGCGGATTGCGGAATGAATGACCGACGAGCTTAGCTGGTTCGTACACACAGGGTAGCTCGATGTTAAAAGGTCAGCCGCGATGTCGGGGATAAAGCCATCAGGAGAGTCTTCTGTGGAACCGTCCGTTTTATTCTGATCACCAGCCTTCTACGTCCATGCATCTCTGTACGTCAGGTGATGGTGGACCGATTTCTACCGTGCTGTCGTGTGTAGCAGCCCAGAAAATGAGCTTCTTGTGATATCGCTGGTGCGTTGCGGCTGTGGAGCTGTCAGCGTCCCCCTCCTTTCTCACGTCACGTTCATGTCGTCTGCCGCGTGCCCCGTCTCGTGCGAGCGCCGCGTCCTCCGCTGAGCGTCCCCCTGCCGCTGGCAGCTGAAGCAGGGGCCGCGCCGCACGCGCTGTGGGGTGTGTGAGGCCTGCCAGCAGCAGCCCGACTGCGGCGACTGCAAACACTGCCGCGACATGGTGAAGTTCGGCGGCAGCGGCCGGAGCAAGCAGTGCTGCATCAACCCAGGTAAGTGGATTACCAACCGCAGGTAGGCAGTGCTGCACTAACGGCAGGCAGAAGTGTTGCACCAACGCACGGTAAGCAGTGCTGCACCAACACAGGTAAGCAGTGCTGCACCAACGACACGGTAAGCAGTGTTGCACCAACGGCACAGGTGGGCGCTGCATGACCTACATCAGTGATGCGCCCTAAGCCCCAAATCATCATCATCATCAACGGCACAGTAAGCACTGCACCAACGGC